TTCTTCTCCTTGGCAGTGCAAAAGCAGGCTGTGGGTCAGATTTGGCTAATGGGTCATTTGCCAATCTCTCCCCGACATAATCTTTGGGTGGCCTTTCTTCCATATGACGTAGAAAGGGTATACTGCCCACCTCCTTTACCTTCCAAGTTTCATAAACTTTTTTTTTAAACAGTGCTTTCTCAAAGAACAAATCAAAGAGTACAGTTACTATTAGGTTGGGTAGGGATGGTAGTAGCAAAATTTGATGTTAAAAAATCTTCATGTTAGCAAGGCTGGGAAGATTTTCCTAGAGTTCAAACAGGACAAGTTTTGTGGGGAGGAAGAATGCTAGTTCCAGGCACAATTTAATTCTGTCCATTCAGAGGGACACTGTCCACTTGCTGTTGAGACATAGTGGTTCTGTCAATTTTGTCTAATTCTACCAGATGCTTTGAAGGTTTTTCTGTTGAAAGTCAACATTTTTGAAATGTTAGAAATTCCTTTTTAAGTAAATAGAAGAGGAAGCTTGAGATGAGATAAACATTTCAAAAGTTTGACTTTCAACAGAAAAGCAGTATTGTTTTTGGTGTGTGTTTTTTGGAGTGTGTTTGAGTGCTTTTGTTTTTTTCGGAAGGACGTCTGTGGGAACTTAGAAAAGAATCAGCAGTAGCTTCTCTCTCTGGTGAATTCACCTTGACTTTCTCTTTGGAGACAAACATAAGTTGAGATTTATTACCTGTTTAGTTTTTGCAAATGTGCTGAGATTCTCTCTTGTTGTTCCCCAGCAGGAGGTGGTGAATAATTCATGGAGCAGTTGCTCATATTGATAAACATGGTTAATTTAAATAGTAGGACTAAGATTCATGCTGACCTTTTACATTTTATTTTTATGGTTCTGAGGATGTACATGAATTGTTTTTAAACAGAGAGGAAAATGCTTTCTGGGGGGCTTAGGGACATGTTTGGATATATTAGGATGTATGGATTTGTCCTTCTCTGTGTCTGTCTATTTTGTCAACCCATTGGCTGTGTTGGTATCTGTGCTGTGTTTCATTGATGCCACCCTGTCTTATGGTGGAAAGTGCTCGGTAAACACTGTTCTTCTGCAAGACGCCCTTGCAGGGGAGAAAAAGCCTTGATTGAGGTATTGTCTTCTCTCTCTTTCTCTCTCTCTCTCTCTCTCTCTTTTGAGTCAGGGTCTCACTCTGTCACCCAGGCTGGAGTACAGTGGTGCAATCTGGCCTCATTGCAGCCTCGGTGCCCTGGGCTTAAGCAGTTCTCCCACCTCTGTCTCCTGAGTAGATGGGACTACAGGCACACGCCACCATGGCTGGCTAATTTTTTTGTATTTGTAGACACAGGGTTTGCCATGTTTCCCAGGCTGGTCTCAAACTCTTGAGCACAATCAATCTACCCAAAGTGCTGAAATGACTTGGTGGTGTTTGCCACCATGCCTGGCCTGTATTCCCTCTTTATTTCATGAAAATTCTTAGAGAGTTTTCACTCAGGCTCATTCAACTTACTCAGCTGCGTTTTTGGGAGAGCAGCACTCTGTGTCTTAAATTGAAGATTAGGAATTTGATATAGAATTATTCCAAAAGGGCTTAAAAACCCAACAGGGGTGAAGAAACACAAGGATCTCAACTCACTCCCTTTCTTGCCTATAGGGAGGTCAGGATGGGTTCTTAGTGTGAGAGGGCAGACAAGGGTAAGTTGCCTGGAACACTGTTTCAAAAATAAATACCGGGCAAAATGATTGTCATTTACAGCTGTTTTTGTCTGGCTTCTGATTTCAAACCTAGGATTTTTTTTTTTTTTTTTGGGTCAGTTGATGTGATAGCAACAGAAATTTAGTTAATTATGGGCAACACAATATTCTCTGATTCATTTCTGATTAAATAATTATTTCATCAGCTTATACCCCAATTTATGCTTTGGTAGGAGGTTTACAAAAATATATACACTGTAAGATGATATAAAAACGCGTGAGGAGATGAAGTGAAGAGTCATTCCTTCATTCACTCATTTATTTATACGTTTAGCAAATACTTACTAAGTACCTACAGTGTGCAAAGCACTGTTTTCAGTGCCTGGAATAGTTCAGTAAACAACACAAACCCTCTGTCCTTATGGAGCCTATTCTAGCCTGGGGTAAAAGGTGTCAGACAATAAATCTGTGCACAGGTAAGGATGCGACATGGCAGGTGTTCCTTTCTGCTGTGTGGACAGGAAAGCAGGATGATGGCAATGTGAGCAGCAGGAGTGAGGGTAGGGGTGGGAGGAGGTTGATGTTATGAAGAAGGTTCAGGAAGGCCTCTCTGATGAAGTGACACTTGGACCTGAGATCTCAGTGAAGTGAGGTGTGAGTCATGTGACATCTGAAAGGAGAGTTTCAGAAGGAAAGAGCAGAAGGTCTGAACACCTGAAGGTCTAAAGGCTTGAAGGTTGGGGCATGCCAAGAGTGTTTGAGGAGCAGCCAGGAGGCGAAGGTAGCTGGAGCGGAGTAAGGGGGAGAAGGGGAGGAGGTAAGGGGACTTCAGAGGCCACTGCAAGAGTAAGATTTTCTCAGAGATTCAGGGAGCCACTGGAGGGTTTTGGGGTAGAGTAATGTCCACAATTTGACTTTCATTTAAAAGAAGACCAATGGGCTGGGCGCAGTGGCTCACGCCTGTAATCCCAGCACTTTGGGAGGCTGAGGTGGGCAGATCACTTGAGGTCAGGAGTTCGAGACCAGCCTGGCCAACATGGTGAAATCCCATCTCTACTAAAAATACAAAAAATTAACTGGGTGTGGTGGCACACACCTGTAATTCCAGCTACTTGGGAGGCTGAGGCAGGAGAATCGCTTGAGCTCAGGAGACAGAGGTTGCAGTGAGCCAAGATATGCCACTGCACTCCAGCCTGGGTGATAGGGCGAGACTCTGTCTCGAAAAACAAAAAAACAAAAAGACAAAACAAGACCAACAGAGTGCAGCCAGAAAGGAAGCTGCCCCCTTGCCTATCATGCAATGCATATTTGTGGGGAACCTGGTGCTAAACCATTTGCAGATGACCTGCTCCTGGGTCAGGGTTTCATATGTAGCAGAGCAAGAACAAAACTCTGACAGCTGTGGTAAGAATGGTTGGTGGGGAAAGGGAGGAAGCAGGGAGGCTAATTAAGAGGCTGTTGTAATAATTCAGACAAGATACAATGGTGACTTTGATCAGGGGTTACTAGTGGAGATTGTAAGAAACATTTGAATTCTGGATACATTTTGAAGGGAATATTGACAGGATTTTCTGTGGATAGGGAGTGTGAGAGAGAAGTCAGGATTTTGCCTGAGTTACTAGAAGAATGGAATCGTCATTGACTGAGATAGATAAGGCTGAGGAGGGAGAATGATCAATAAACTAGGAATAGAAGAGATCTTCCTCAATCTGATAAAGCGAATCTACAGAAGCCCTACAGTTCACGTTATACTTAATGTGAAAGACTGAATGCTTTCCTCGTATGATCAGGAAGAAGACAAGGATGCCCCCTCTGACACTGTCATCTAACGTTGTACAGGAGGTTCTAGCCATTGCAATTAGGCAAGAAAAAGAAGTAAAAGTTATCTGGATTATCAAGGAAGAAGTAAAACAGTCTCTATTTGCACAGACATGATCTTACATATAGAAAGCCCAAAGGAATCAACTAAAAAACAATTAGAACTAACAAACGGTTCAGCAAGGTTGCAGGAAACAAGATCAATATACAAAATTCAGTTCTATTTCTGTACACAAACAATGAACATTCCAGAAATGAAATTAAGAAAACAATATCATTTACTGCCATAAGACTACATGACATCAGCCAGAGAGAGAAAGAAAGAAAGAGAGAGAGAAAGAGTCTGGATAGAGGAGGGAAAAAGGTTTGAACCCCAGATCACCCAAGTTCAAAGGTCAGGCTGGTGAAGAGAAGCAGTGAAGCAGCTGGACAACCAGGAGAGTCACTCCTGGCGCGTATTTGAGGAAGGAAGAGGTGATCAGCAGTGTGTGGTGCTGCTGAAGGGTAAGAGGACTGGAGATTGACGGCTGACTAAGTCGAATGAGCCTGAGTGAAAAGTGAGAAAGAATGAGACTCAGAGGCGCAGGAAAAAAGGTCTGTCTGGAACCAATACTTTTTTTTTGAAAAATGTAGTAAAAGTGGAACACTAGCAAAATCAATATGCAAGCCTATTTTTCCTTATTAAATTCAGTAGACATAGTCTTGTAAACGTGCACTTTCGGGTTGCATCCTACCTCAGTGTAGTCTGTAACAGTTTGCTGAGTGCACGGGTTCTTGTCTATGGAGCCCACCTTGGCAACATGAACTAAAACGGATTCAACATGCATATCACAGGATACTGGCCCTGATGCAGGAGGCACCTGTTGGAGAATAAACATCGGTCTCACCCTCTAAGAGGCCACGTATCTCCTTGTTCAGAAAGCATGAAGCCTGAAGTTTGGTCCCACATAAGTTATAATCATGAACAAGTGAAACATCTTGCGCCAAGCATTATCCTTTTCTATAAATGATAACAGCTATCTGCTCTCTTCCTCGTAGTTTTGACATTTGTGTGGTATTTTAGTCTGAATTGCTCATTTAAGTTTCATACAACCCTGCAAAGTGGGTGGATTTCTTTTTTAATCCCCATAAAGAAACAGGCTCAGAAAGACGGAACACTTTGTCCCCCCTCATGCTGTTTGGAAGTGGTAGAGCCAGGACCCCTCTTTCAGTCCCACAAGCTCGCCACCAGACCAGGCTGTGGGATTTTTGAGTCCTTTTCCACATTCGAATTTAACATCAGCTGTGCTTTGATCATTTATGTCCTATTTTTGTGATCACAGATTTTCAGGTTGAATTTAGTGTCACTCTGGGTGTGTGTCTGTTGTCAACGCAGCAATGTAAAGAGACCTTATCTTTCAAACCTAAACAGTTGCTGGATTATACTAGTGCTGGTTTTGAATTCTCTCCGGTCTGGAAGTGCTGCCTTGTAACTGCGTTGTTTCCTCTTTCACAGCATATGAGCTGTTTGCATTCATCAGTCACATGGGAACATCCACAATGAGTGGTCATTACATTTGCCATATCAAAAAGGAAGGAAGGTGAGTCATTTTTAGAAGGTAAATGACAGCCGTGATTTATTGAGTACCTACTGTATGCCCAGCACTCTCCTAGGTACACTGTATGCTATCTCACCTGGTCTTGTAAAGGGTATACTGTTAATGCTTTTTACGTATCAAGACGCTTAGACTCAGGGAGGCCGAATAGCTTGACCTCAGCTAGTAAGTCAAAAGCCACTTGCAACCATCATACCGAGGTGACTTCCCAAAATAAAGATGCATCCTGCAGCAGAATGTACGCTGTGATTGCAACCTCCATAGGATTGCCATATTTAGCCAACAAAGGGAAGCATTCAAGAAAAACCCAGATGCCCTATTTAACTCGAATTTCAGATAAATAGTGAATAATTTCTTAGTATAAATAATTTCAAAGAGTCTATGTCCCAACTATTATATGGGGCATGCCTATACTGAAATCATTTATTGCTTACCTGATACTCAGATGTAACTGGGTACCTGCGCTTTATCTGGCGGCTCTAAACCTTCAGTGCTTTCCCTTACCACAGCCTTGCCGTTGGCTTTTCCACGTTCCTGGGTAGAACTGTTAAGTGTGTGGGGAACTGGGAATGAGACAGTTGTGGAGTGAAAGGCGGCTGCTTTCTTCAGAACCTTCTCCCCGGGCTGGATCCCCACAGGCCCCACTGGTGCCCTTCCCACAGGTCCAAACCGTGGCTGTGGGTCGGCCCTTCTGCTTGAGGGCAGCACTCAGGCCACGTGGACGCTGGAGGAACACCTGAGCGTGGCCTCTGCTCCGTCCCTCCCTCCCACTGTAGGAGGGGCCAGTTCTCACCTGGATTCCACTGTGTGTCTTTTAGTTTTGTCTTCTAAACTTGATTAATAAAATACTTGAGCACAGGGATTTATCTTTTTTGTTTGTTTGTTTGTTTGAGATGGAGTTTCACTCTTGTTGCCCAGGCTGGGGTGCAGTGGAGTGATCTCAGCCCACTGCAACCTCTGCCTGCCGGGTTCAAGCGATTCTCCTGCCTCAGCCTCCCAAGTAGCTGGGATTACAGGCGTGTACCACCACACCCGGCTAATTTTTTGTATTTTTAGTAGATTCAGCGTTTCACAATATTGGTCAGGCTGGTCCTGAACTCCTGACCTCAAGTGATCCACCCGCCTCGGCCTCCCAAAGTGCTGGGATTGCAGCTGTGAGCCACTGTGCCTGGCTGGGACTTATCTTTATAGTGAATTATTTTTATTGCAATCATGATAGCTCTTTTAAAAACACTTTATGGAGTGAAGTAAAAGAAAAAAAGTGAAAATGCTTTTTAAAAGAAAAAAGCTTAATTATAATTTTAAAAGCAATAAAATTCATTGTAAATAATTTATAAATATAAGAATATATAAGAATATGTGCTTGGAACAGTAACAATAACCATTGTCTACATTTTGAGATATTTTTCTCTGTTGTTCTGGCTCACTGGAAGAAAGTACATGTTTGTCTATTTATGCACATACTACATATAAATATGCATAGCATAACTAAAAGCGTGACGTGTATGCGGAGTGCATACAATTTTTTAACCTGTGCTTTCCCATTTCACATTATATTGTGATTATTTTCTCACTTTGCCAAATATTCTTTGAAGAAATTTTAATAGTTCACTGCATGGATTTTTTTTTTAAGCTTTGTTGTACATAATTCTTTGACTCAATTTCTGAGTCTACAGATTTCTATAAAGGGAATTATGGAGTCAAAGGTTCAAATGTTTGGAGGCTTCTGATACATTTTAGTAACTACTTTTCGACCGAGGTTAAGAATCACAAAGCAGCTGTAGCTGGGCGTGAGGGCACGAAGGTGTGTGCCCAGCTAGCTACTCAGGAGGCTGAAGCAAGAGGGTCCCTTGAGCTCAGGAGTTCGAAGCTGCAGATGATGCTGCTGTACGCCAGCCTGGGGAGAGAATGAGGCTTTGTCTCTTAAAAAAAAAGAAGCAGTTGTGATTCCCTACCAGCATTCTGTTCTTTTTTATACAACAAACTTGAGTTTAGTGTCTTAAAACATCATGGTTAAGTATTGTGTGCCATATGACTTAGTAACTTCTTTCTGCAAAGTTTCCCGAAACTGACTTAAATCCATCAAATGCTTCTGTCTTGTTTTCAGATGGGTGATTTACAATGACCACAAAGTTTGTGCCTCAGAAAGGCCCCCTAAAGACCTGGGCTACATGTACTTTTACCGCAGAATACCAAGCTAAACCTCAAATGTAAAAAGTGGCGACAGGAAGCCATACGCCTTTTTAATTTGCCAAAAAAAAGAAAAAAAAAAAAAAGAAAAAGAAGCGGAAGAAGAAGTTGAAACAGCCAGACATGAAGGAGTACATGCAGTATTTATAGCTTATTTAAAGAGCACGATCAGTTGACGCCTTCTGAAATAGAACTGGGAAGAAATTTCTATTAGTGATGATACGCTATTGTAGATAGTTTTTTATAAATGTTCAAGGAGAGGATATTTAAAAACATAAACGTATTCATATTGCTGGTGGAGAATCTGCCATCAGCACATCAAAAATGGGGATGTGTCCCCAGCCCTCTGTTTTGCTTTGGGGGTCAGTGGTAGTGGCCTCCAGGAAACCAAATAATGTGGCCTGCGGTCTGGCCTTGCCCACAGCAAATGAAAAGCCCACTTGTGTTTCATATAGAACGTCAGCAATTGGGCAGGGCTTTATTTGTGACATAATTTTTTTCATGACATACAATAATTTCTGATGTATCCATGTAGATATTATGCTCTGTCCATACTAGAACCTCTGCAATGAAAGATGTTTTTAATTTAAATCATATCAAAATTCATAATACGATTGTGTGAATGTGTGTGAGTGACTGAGAGTGTGAGACTTTTACCAGAAAAGTGAGTCCACTAGAAAATCAGTGACAAGTTGGTTTTAAAAGCCTGAACAGTAATTGGTATTAAGCAATCTGAAAAAAGCAAGTAAGTATTTTAACAAAACTACAACTCAGGAAGCTTCAGGGAGATTAGTTCCCCACTTAGATTTTTAAGGAGTAAAAAGGGCTGCGTTATGCCTTTAAGTGCTGTCAAGAATTCACTTGGGTTTGGGACGTTTGCTGGTGTAACGCTAGATGCCCACAGCAGCATAATATTGTACTTTGTCAAAGATAGATAAATTCTCTGTTTCTCATCAGCCCTTTCCCCAAAAGGTATGGTGTTTATTTTTAGTTAAAATAGCTCATCTCTTTTTACCATCTCACATGATAACTCTTTGGAGTCATGCTGTGTGCCCCAAGTTTGTCAGTAGCTTTCCCATCTCTGAGTTCTTTATCTGCCTCCATTTCCTTGTTTTTCTGGGGCCAGAGTCTCATCTCTGCCCTTTTTTGGTTTATCACCTGCTGACTTGCCTTCGCTGCTTATCTGATGTGACCAACAGTGTGATCTTGGATGCTCCAAGGATCTTAGATGCAGAGAAACTTTATATGACATTGTGAAAGGCCACCCTTTCCATTTTGATTATTTCAGTATTTCAGTTGTGACCTGGGATTAGATGAATTTCCAATGTGATAAAAGGTTGAATGAAAGCGTTCTATAATTTCTGTAATTTTCCTACTGCTCTGTACCAAATTCCAGAATCTCTGGAATTGCTATTTCAGATTGTTTGGTCAAATGAAAAAGGATTTATTGCTGTCTGTTTATCATGTATTTGTGTGGTTGAAAGAATCTTTTTAGAAACTGTAAGAAAATAGAAGCAGCCGGGTGAAATAGAGCACAGACACTGGATGAGGATGTGGTGAGCTGTGAACGGTCAGGGTCTGGGCACGGTGGGGGCCTGTCTCACAGGTGGTCCTTTGGTGCCATGTGAGCGAGGGACATGGTGTCTGAGGCCCCCAGCCTGAACGCCTGTGCGCTGCTCCTAGCTGGCTGTGGGCCTTGGGCAGGTCCCTCGTTCCTCCCTGTTCTCATCTGCACAATGGCGTGATGACACCTGCCCTCTCTTTCTAGTCATGCTTTGAGGATACAGTGAGCTTGGTTACAGTGAGCCTTCAATGAGTAGAATACGGTGTGCCACAGTTAGGTGAGCCTTCACTGAGTAGAATACGGTGTGCCACGGTTATGGTGAGCCTTCAATGAGTAGAATACGGTGTGCCACGGTTAGGTGAGCCTTCAATGAGTAGAATACGGTGTGCCACGGTTAGGTGAGCCTTCACTGAGTAGAATACGGGGTGCCATGGTTATGGTGAGCCTTCACTGAGTAGAATACGGTGTGCCACGGTTATGGTGAGCCTTCAATGAGTAGAATATGGTGTGCCACGGTTATGGTGAGCCTTCAATGAGTAGAATACGGTGTGCCACGGTTAGGTGAACCTTCACTGAGTAGAATACGGGGTGCCACGGTTACGGTGAGCCTTCACAGTAGAATACGGTGTGCCACGGTTAGGTGAGCCTTCACTGAGTAGAATACGGGGTGCCACGGTTAGGTGAGCCTTCACTGAGTAGAATACGGGGTGCCACGGTTAGGTGAGCCTTCACTGAGTAGAATACGGTGCGCCACGGTGGGTCCTGGTGGACTGCTCCCTGCCTCTTCTGTTCGATGCTTTCCTCAGTGTGGGAACAGATGAGATTGGCAGACGGAGGAAGTTCCCGAAGCAGTACTTTTCTATCGGAGTGTGCACACTGGTGTCACCCTGTAGCGTTGGCTTGGACTTCCTAAAGCAGCCCCACTCTGTTCTGAGAGTCACTGACTCCTGTGGAAATCCCCACAGGAAGCAGCCTTACAAAACCCAGTCCCCTAGGGCACGGCGAGTGTCATAGAATAATGGCTCCAGACGTGCATCAGAAATGGCTTGTTTTCAACGACGTGATATAAACAAAGACCTTTTTTTTGGAACCTGAGCGACTGGGAGGTTTGGATTGAATTGTGGACAAAGACAGCATGTGTATTTTGAACAAAATAAAAATTTTAACAAAACTTTGAAAGTCAGTGGTGTAGAATCAACATTTAAGACTGTAGGCTATCCACCGTTTAATTGCATTAACTAACCCCTTTGATGCCTGGACGTGCTGTAGGAAAGCGTGCTGTGGCTGCCTTTTCTTCTGCCTCACAGCACAAAGGGCTATTTCTGTAAGGCGAAGTTTTGTATATTCTTTACTTCAGATTGAGAGTTGGGAGAAACGAGCAAATAATAGGTTTCTTACTTGATTAAAAACGTATTTGTGTGTTTATCTTGACATATACAAGGCAGGTTCCCCTAGAAAAGTCTGGAATGTACCACTTAGTTTCACACTTGTGTAGACACAATTATTTGTAACTGAAAAGTAGAAAAACACGTGGATGTGTCAACTCATTATCAGTCTGTTGGGCGTCCTCTGTGTGAGGCATGGTGGTCTAATGTGAAATTCTCACTGTATATGGGTGTCTGTGTGAAAAACAGCACTTTATTCCTGTAAATATCTTTTGATATCCATTTGCGTAGAATTCCAATGAATGTGTCTTTGGAAAAGGTAATGTATCAAAGTTTTCATTTTGCCAATTGATCTAAATGCCCATATAGCTAATCAGAAATCCAGTTTGGTTCACATTGGGATTTTCTTTTAAAGAAAAGCATATGCAGAAAAGACTGCTGGAAGAATCATGTGTTAGTGACACTTGACATCAGCGTTGCTTCAGTATTTTGGAATTGACTAGGCTGCTTCCTTCTACCTACGAGAGAATGTGCCCGCCATTTCCCCGTGCTTACTTGGGCTGTAGCAAGTCCAGTGGGGATAGCTCCAGCCTCGTGCTTTCTGAGTCATTTATTCCGTTGACCTGAACAAGAGCCTTCCCTGCAGTTCATGGTGAGAGCCCTGGGTCTGTATCCTGACTGCACTAAGTGAGATGGGCTGTCGCTGTACCTCTCCGGGCCTTTTCATTTGAAACAGTTGGTTAGACTAGTTGACCTCAGAAGTCCCCTCTTGCTCTGACATTTTATTTTTATTTTCCTGTGGTTACCAGTAGGGTCCGACGTGAAACGTGAGAGATCACTTAGAGATATGGAGGTTGTATTTTTGCGTTCTTAGAGCTTATACTCCCCAGGTGAGGACGTGTTATTCTTAGTGCTGCCGCCGCCCCGTTTGTACTCCTGCTCCACTTAACTGTACTTTTTTGGGTAATCATCCCCCCCCTTTTTTTTTGAGATGGAGTCTTGCCCTGTTGCCCAGGCTGCATGCAGTGGTGCAATCTCATCTCACTGCAACTTCTGCCTCCCGGGTTCGAGCAATTATCCTGCCTCAGCTTCCCAAGTAGCTGGGAGGTAGGCGCATGCCACTATGGCCAGCTAATTTTTGTATTTTTAGTAGAGATGAACTTTCACCGTGTTGGCCAGGCTGGTCTTGAATTCCTGACCTCAAGCAATTCACCTGCCTTGGCTTCCCAAAGTGCTGGGTTTACAGACGCGAGCCACCACGTCCGGCCCCACTTTTTTCCACTCTTGAAACAAACAATGTTCCAGTCCATGAGGTGCTTTGCCTCCACCTCCCTTAAGAAAAAACCAAAAAATCCATTTAAGATATCTTCCTAGGAAAGCATAAGGACTGCCTTCATGGAAGTCTGACACCTTTATAGAATATTTAAAAATTCTACAAGAGGATGGGAAACAGAACTCTAATTCAGTTAGCGCTGTGATCCCCAAACTGTCTGTCACAGAAAGGCCGCCGTCTTGTCTTCTGCAGGCATCACTGCTGCTAATCACATCAGTACAGGCCTTCTGTGGGGCGTGGGGAGATGGCAGGGGCGGGCAGGACCTGGGGATGGGGTTAGATAAAATGTGATAATATCCTCACGTGAGATTAAAAAATCCCAGTCTACAGAGCAAGGTTCCGTACTCAGAGTTGGTGTCTGAGTTGGTATAACACCTGCATGGTGTTACAGAGATTTTCCACTCAGTCGATCACTCTAAAGAGTTGGCATCAGACGCTCTAGACCTGTGCTACTCAGCGTGGCAGTCGACAGCCACATGTGGCGATGACTGCTCAGAACGTGGCTTGTTCAAATCGAGAGTGTGCTGTACACATAACATACACACAAGATTCTGAAGGCTGGGTACCAAAAAGGAATTTAAAATATTCCATCAGTATTTCATGTTGCTAACATGAAAGGACAATATTTTAGATATAAGTATTAAGTAAAATATTAGCAATGTAATATAGATATTATTAAAATAAATTTATCCTTTTTATCTTTAGAAACAAATGTGGCCCTTAAAGAATGTAAAATTAGACAAGTGGGTAACCTGGTACTTCTAATGGACGGTGCCATGCTAGACTTCC